ATAATTTTAATTTGAAAATGTGGAAAAAAATTACTTTTAAAGAAACTCATAATTTACCTTTTTTTTTAATTAAAATTTTTGAAATAAATTTTAAGACTTTATTATATTAATTTAATCTTTTTCATTATTATTATTATTATTATTATTTCTTATATATATAAAATCCTGAAACCAAAAAAAATTCAAAAAAACTGAGTTGGCACTCTTCTATCTCAGCATTTTTTTTTCTTTTTTTTACAAATTTTCTAATTTTTTAATACATTTTCTTCACATTTCTTTTTCCTTTTTTATAGATTTAATTGGATTAATTATAAAATTTTATCTTTCGTCAACAACAAAACAATATATTAAAATTAAAATTTAAAAGATTTCATTAAAACTTGAAATTTTGAAATCCATCTATCCCTTTCTTTTCTCTATTTATAGACCAAATCTTTCCTTACTTCAATGATTCTCTATTTGTTTAACTCTCATCACTTTGTTTTCTTAGATCAACAACTCGCAAAGAGAAATAAACAGTGTGATTTTTTACTTAGCACGGTGATTCCGCTGACTTATAAATAATCTCTGCATTAAAATTGAAATATTTCGGCATATTTTCAATCTCTCGCCATAATTTTATTGTTTCTTCTTTCTATCTGTTTTATTGAAAACTATTTATTGTTATTAATATATAGCTGACAATTGCTCTAACGCTCTTTGTTTATCAATTGATTTTTCTCTAGGATCTTTAAATGCTAAGGAGTTATTTAATTTTGTTCTTTGCTTAAAATTTACTTTTAAAACACTTAAAATTTCATGTTTCTTAATTTTGTTTTCCACAGCAACAACTATTATTTTGTTTTGCTTTTGGGGGGCACGAATTTCTGCTTTTGCATCTATTTTCTGCAGTTAGGTAACATAACAAGTTTCATATTTTAATTTATATGGTTCAATCTTTTGTTTTTCAAAGTGCTGCTGTGCGGGTCGTGTAAAATGCTGAAACATGGATTAAGACAAACAAACTCTTCTTATTACTGTATTTTCTTGCAAACAATAGAGCTCCAATTTCATTTTATTCTTCTGCAAGTCCACTTTCAAGAAACTCTTATTGGAACTGCATTTTTCACAAATTTGATACGACTATTGCTAAATTTAATATATAATGCTTGTAATTATTCATTTTTGGAAAACCCTTTGTAATTTATGACTATTATTACAAGCATCATATATTAATTAATGGTGGTAGAGGATATATGATGATGGTGATGTAGAACAGATGATTCTTTAGACCTATAAAATTAAAAAAACATACATTATATATATTCTGAAACTGTCACTTTTCCACTGAAGCAATCAATTAACTAACAAGAATCTGAAGATTCTATTCTTTAAAAATAGTCATGGTTTTTGTAACTTTTACGGAGGAATTGATTAACTTAATTAATTAATTTATTTATATGATGTATAAAATCATGATTTGGCAAGCAAATCTACTGATGTTATTTATAATGACTACCGAATTGATTCTTGAATGGTCTACATCAATGACCAACCACTATTTAATTTGGAACACAAAGGTAAAAATCATTCTCATCTTAGCCTTTATTTTTATATGTATATATATATATACTAGATATAAGTATATGCAGAAAAAGAGAAAAACACTTTAACAAGGTAACTCGCGCAATGCACGAGCCTTCATCTAATTATTTTTAAAGCTACAAAACTAAAACAAATTAAAAAACTTGAAAATAATTATTTAATTTTAATTCCAAACCGGAACAAAATTGAAATTAACCTTCTAAAAATGTCTTAAAAAACTGTCTAATAATAGTTCGATTCTCATTCAATATTGATTCTATTTTTTTTAACAATTGGTCATGCATAATTGTTTTTTTTTTTTTCTTTGAAATGTAATTACAATTAGTCATATAGACTAGACATAGAATTTTACTATTAGTTGCTAATAGAGTTCGTTGATCTTTTAACAAAGCAAAATAATTCATTTTTTTTTTAAATAATGAAACTAAAATTAAAAGAATATAATATTTGATATTTCCACTTAGAGTTGATTTCAACAAAAAATATAAATCTCCAGAATAGCAACTTGTCTGTTAATTGATTTCGATGTCAAAATAATAGCTCATATGAATCTTCTATAAATAATTTTTTTTCCAATAATTTGTAACAAATGACGAACACAAATGAATTTCTACCACTATGCATCAATAACATCAATGAAGGTACAGATTACACTATCAGGCTCAATTAATCGAAGATCCAAACCTGCAAATCAAGATTTAAAATCTCCAATCAAATAAAATCAAATATATCATAACTTTATTTAGGAATAAAATCTCGTAAAGAAGGGACCACCCTCACGAAAGAAGGTACAACAAAAAACTCTAAATATGGAAACAAATTAACAATAACAAAAACAAAAAAGACAAATCTATGACAGAAAAAGCAAATCAAGTTTATAAAGCAAAAGAAGATTAAAAATAAAAGAAGAAGCGAAAGAGAGAGTAGAAAGAAGGAGGAAGGAGCTCCTGTTAGGCATGGCCACCGATTCGGTTTTAACCGGAATCGAACCATACTGTAGACGAACCGAAATCAGACCGAAACCGGCGGTTCAAAATTTTGAACCGGAACCGGCGGTTCAAGGGCCAATGGCCACCGATTCGGTTTAACCGGAATCGAACCATACTGTAGACGAACCGAAATCAGACGAAACCGGCAGGTTTTCAAAATTTTGAACCGGAACCGGCCGGTTCAAGGCCGGTTAAGGTTCATGTGAATGTTAAAAAATGAACCTGAACCGGCCCGGAACCGGACGGTTAACCGGCCAGGGTTTTCGCGTCCGATCGATACCGGATTCACCAAACAAAAATTATTTTTGCCATAATACTTAATTTATAAAAAATGTTGTCAAAAAAAAAAAACATCTTCATTTTGAATTTTTAAAAAAAAGGAAGCATCATCATTCAACCTTTTTTTTTTTTTTAAGCTCATCCATTTCACTTTTTTTACCAAATACCTTTTTTTTTTTTTTTAACTATACAATTAACAATTTTACAAAGTTCAAAACTTCAAACTTCAAAACGATATTAATTTTATTATTTAATTTATTTATTTATTTATTTATTTATTATTAATTTTACTAAATTATCCAAAAATTATAATTGTTTTTTTTATTTATAAGGGGCAATTTTGGGGAAACTATTATAAATGAAAAATATGTATAAATATGATGAGTTGATTATTTTTTTTTCCACAACCAATTAAATTATATTCTATCTCTCCTCTTCTCTTCTTAATATTGCTTTATTTTCATACATCCAATTCTAAATTCCATTAATTTCATATTCCATTTATTCATTTTTTGTTCCATAATTCCATTTAAAATTATGGCACACAATTCACAAATCTCCAAGAGAAAGCAAGTTGCTCAAAGCATGGAAGAAATTGATTCAAATGATCCATTGATTGATTTTTCACCACAAGAAGCAATATCTCCTAATATTTCAATAGGTAAACCGTAAACCACCAAAATCAGATATTTTCAAGAAGCACTGTGCAAAAATTGTTCAAGATAATGGAGAAATCAATGCGGTTCGATGTAATTATTGCAAAAAAGAATATGCATTCAAGCTTGGAGGAGGATATGACACTCTTGACCCTCTTAATTAGGCATTTAAAATCACATCATTCCAAGTGAGAGTAGGAATGGGATGTAACTCAAACTCAATTACGTCATAAGGGTATAGTGATCCTAACACTTCTCTATTCCCAACTAATATTTGTTTTGAATATATCTGTACTTTGAATTTATGATTCGCTTTTATCTTTACATGATCCTGGGGATTTTCTAAGTTGTATTTTGTTACTGTTGTATCTATAAAGAGCATGACCTGCTCTCATTGTAAATATGACAGAAACAACTTTCTTCTCTTCTATTTTCTTTATTAAATTTTAGCAACTATCTTATCTATTTATTTGAAAGAAAAAAAAATTTTAAAAAATGTATTTGCAAATTTTAATGGTATTTGTTGTGATATTTTGTGTGATGCTTGGCAAACTCATTCTTATATAAGTGTTACATCCCATTGGATTTATAATGAATGGAAAATTCAAAAAAAAAAAATATTGCACTTAGAGTTTTTGATGACTCTCATACAGCCCATAATATTTTTACCATGTTAAATATTATTTTAGAAGAATATGGTTTGACTAAAGTTCTAAGTTAGTTAATAGAAGTTTTTCTTTTAAAATTTATAATAATTCATTTAGTTAATAAAATTTAAACATTTTAAAATTATTATTTATTCAGGAATTCGAAATCAAAATTTTATTATTTTTTTAAAAATTTGCGTAATGCCGGAACCGAATCGGAACCGTAATTTGAACCGTCGATTCGCCGGAACTGTACTGAACCGTGCCGGAACCGGAGGTTCAAGGGTCGGTTCCGGTTCAAAATTTTAAACATCTTGAACCAGCGGTTCAGTGAACCGGAACCGGCCATGCCTAAAAATATCTACTATAGTTTTTCATATTTTGCTTTTTTTTCTAAAATTTGAATAAATTCAAAATTGAAAAGAAGATTGATGACCAAAAATTTAATTAGTATAAAACTTCCATGCCTAGCTCCTGTTAATAAACAGTAACAGTGCCAAACTACAATTAGGGTTAGAAGAGTAGAGAGAAAGGAGAGAGATTTCCTGTTGATTCATTTGGTCATGCATAATTGTTATTCTATAGTTGTGCGGATGGTTAGATTGAAGATAAAAGAAAGCTCTCATTGATCAATTGGGTCAGCCTATTTCTTATGCATGTAGTTTGCTACAGAAAAATAAATAAGCAAGGGGCCTGTCCTAGGCCCATTTTGGAAATGCTGGATTTGCCGAGGTAGATCGCTTGCTCTGACGTTTGAGATCGGCTATTCCTTTCATCAGCGTGAGGAGTCCTACTTATCGAACGGCCAGTCGTTTAAACATGACATGACACATAGGGACAATTTTGAGAAATCAAAATCTATAGCCAACTCCAACAATCTCGAAACACAGCCTCTGCGATACGAGGGTTTTTGTTTAGGGTTTTTCGATCTAAGCTATCAAACAGTAAGAAATGACGTCTCTGATGGCCATTCGTCGTTCAAGGAATTGGAAATTGGTTTCTTCTACATCTTCTCTTTCGGTTTTCAAGGTACGGTCTATTCTGCACTCAGATTTCTCTTTCAATAGAACTTTAATCCTCTCCAAAACCCTAAGCTCTTCCTCTGCTGTTCCTGATAACTATCAAAGACCTCTTCCTTCTAGTTATCAAGATGAGAGAAACCTTAATAGCCAATGGAATCAGGGAAAATCTAATCAGTGGGGCTCGCGACAGGGCCACAATAATCAATGGGATTCTCAGGGTCAGAACTCTCCCCAGTACCCAAACCGTAATCAAGTGAACACCAATCAGTGGAATTCTACGGACCAGAATCCTAATCAAATGAACCCTAACCAGTGGAATTCTTCATCTCAAAATTTTCCTCAACACCAACGGCAACAAAATCATAATCAGTGGAACTCTTCAGCTTACAATTTTCCTCAACACCAACAGCAACAAAACCATAATCAGTGGAACTCACGGCCTCAAAATTACCCCCAATACCAAAACCACCAAACTACTACTCAGGTTGATCCTAATGTTCAGGATCATCGCCAATCTAGAATCCCAAACCAATGGAACAATCAAAATCTGGGTTACCCACAAGCTAGAAACCCTGACCAGTGGGCTAGGGACGGACAAAACCCTAATCAAGGTCAAGGTCAAGGTCAAGGTCAAGGTCGCGGGGCCTTGGAGACTCCGGCCCCAGTGGTTAATGCTTACGAGAGTATTCACGTTCCAGCTCCTTCAATAGTGGATTTGATGCGATTATGTCAGGAGGGAAAGATTAAGGAAGCCCTTGAGATATTGGATAAAGGAGTTAAAGCTGATGCTAATTGTTTTTATCATTTGTTTGAGTTGTGTGTGAAACATGAGGATGCAAAAAAGGTACATGACTACTTTTTGCAATCAACATTAAGAGGTGATCTTAAATTGAATAATAAGGTGATTGAAATGTATGGGAAATGTGCAAGTATGACTGATGCTAGGAGAGTTTTTGATCATATGCCAGAGAGGAATATGGATTCATGGCATTTGATGATAAATGGGTATGCAAGTAATAATTTGGGAGATGAGGGGTTACAATTGTTTGAGGAGATGAGGAAGTTGGGATTGAAACCAACTGAGCAGACATTTCTGGCAGTTCTCTCTGCTTGTGCTAGTGCAGAGGCAGTGGAGGAAGGATTTTTACATTTTGAGTCAATGAAGAACGAGTATGGAATCAATCCAGGAGCTGAGCATTATTTGGGGGTTATAGATATTCTTGGAAAGTCTGGTTATGTTAATGAAATTGAAGAATATATTCAAAGATTACCGTTTGAGCCAACTGCAGAAATCTGGGGTGCATGGAGGAATTATGCTCGGATTCATGGAGATGTTGATATTGAAGATCGTGCTGAGGAGTTGATGGTTGCTCTTGAACCGTCAAAGGCTGTTGCCAACAAAATTCCTACTCCTCTACCGAAGAAGTATAGTGCAATCAGCATGCTTGAAGGAAAGAATAAAATTATTGAGTTTCGGAATCCTACTCTTTACAAAGATGATGAGAAACTCAAGGCTATGAGTAAGATAGTGAGCTATGTTCCCGATACCAGATATGTTCTTCATGATATTGATCAGGAAGCTAAAGAGCAAGCCTTGCTGTATCACAGTGAACGGTTGGCAATTGCATATGGTCTTATCAGTACTCCTGCAAGGACACCTTTGAGAATCATCAAGAACCTCCGGGTGTGTGGTGACTGTCACAATGCTATCAAGATAATGTCTAGGATTGTTGGAAGGGAATTGATTGTTAGGGATAACAAAAGATTTCATCATTTCAAGGATGGCAGTTGCTCTTGTGGAGATTACTGGTGAAGATATTGTCACTTTGAACATCATTTCAAGGATGGCAGTTGCTCCGCTATCAAGATAATGTCTAGGATTGTTGGAAGGGAATTGATTGTTAGGGATAACAAAAGATTTCATCATTTCAAGGATGGCAGTTGCTCTTGTGGAGATTACTGGTGAAGATATTGTCACTTTGAACATCCATTATATGTATTAAGTGACCCGATTTCTCTTTTAGGAATTTGGATATGTAGGGTGTTGTAACTTTGGAGCCATATCTGCTACCATGCACGAGAAATCAACTTTTTTATTGCTTTGCATGTAGGGTATGGTTGTTCTAATGCTCAATCAGTTATTTGTTATGATATTCCTATGATTCACATCTTTTGACCTTACGCGTTTCCTTATATGTATATTTTTTTTCCCCAAGGCTCCAAATGAAGGTTTTAACTATACAAAACAACGAAAAACAAGTCTTGGGATTTTGTAGTTGATGCTTGTGAGATGAACTTTACATTTGGTAGAATTTATGGAACATTTAGATCTCATGTTACTGTATCTAATAGCCAGCCACTGAATTTGCAAAATCCCTGAAACTGCAGCAAAGCCAGGGGCCTATCTGTTATTATTTCTGTTTTTTCTGCAGTAAAAGGTTGTATATAGGAAAACTGGTTCAGAAAATGGACAAACGTAACTTATTGTAATTTTCACATCATGTGACAATCTGTTTTTTTCTGATTTAAGAGATTAAATAACAAAAGAAATATTTTTTTTTTCATGATATATTGTTCTTTGACATGAGAGAGAAGAACGTTGAGAAAGTTTGATCATGTCCTACATAGACATCCATGTGCTTTGGTTCGTAATCATTATAAATTAATGGTGGAGGGTGCTAGATGGAGAGAAGGTAGACCTAGAATCACACGGAGAAAATTTGCTTTAAAAGATCTACTACTTGATATTGATGCAGATTTAGTTATGAACAGAGGGAAATGAAAACAAAACATTTATATAATTGATTCCAACTTGTCTGGAATTAAAGTTTTGTTGTTGTTTTTGTTGTATATATTATTCTTTGACAAAAATCAAAAACAAGAAACAAGAACAATGATACCAAACCTCCTCTCATTGAATAATAGTAGTTAAATGCAGAGGATTTTAAACCTCCTCTTCTCGTATTATCTACAGATTCTGAAACCATATAACAGCTCCATTACTTGAATCATCTATGCCTTGTATCTGTTGTCTTCTGGCCTATTCTCAACTTCAGCGATCTGTTGACAAGTTTTGATAAAAGATATTACCAGTTTCTGTTTTCAGTTAGAATTGAATTTTCCAACTAACAAACCAAGAAAAGAAAATAAGTACCTCGTCAAACTCTAAATTGTTAATCAGAAGGGAAGTCTTTTACAATAAGACCGTCGATATTCTGAAGAAGCTCAAACCAAATTTGGAGTCGAGCATAAACGAGCTACCCTTGCAGCAGCTCCATTCGCTTGTCCCCTTACGCATTCAACTGTAATATTATCATCATTAGAAACAAAATCTCTACAATCATCAACTATAGTATGCCAATCTGAATTTTCTGCTGAAGGATGAACAATTTCCCTCCACACTTTCCTTGCGTCTGTCTCTGTTAATCACGTCGGCTGACTTGCGTTCTACAATCTACTTTTCATAATAATTATTATTATCAGCATTGGAAAAGTAAATTTGTGTATCAGTGAGACTCAAACTATTTGATGTTTATTACGATATATGCCATTATGCTAAGACATCATGAACTGTAGTGATAATAGTATAAACTAGATTATTATATATGTAATCTACAAAATATTATTTATTTTGGTATATTATTGGAAAGTGTTATGAAATTTGCTAATTATGTAATTTTACATTATAAAAAAATAATGACAGTAAAAAGTGGGGTAAACAACAATGTTTAACTCAATAGTTTAGGTATTATAAACACTAACATAGAAGGGGAAAAGGATTCAAGTTACAAAATGGGGTTTGAACACTTTAGTTCAACCACCAAAAATACCATCATGTGTAATATTAAACACTATATATAAATATATATATTCTTTTAATATATATTTCTAATAAGAAGCAACCAAAGGTTGATTTTGATTATGATCATGATCACCCTTCTCCTTTTGGTCCTCCATTTCTAACAATTTTGCAAAAACTCCTACTAATGGTGCTGTATTATATGTGCAGGCCTCAGTCTGCATATAATTACCCCTTTGGTCCATAAAATTATCTTGACAATCTGGTCCTCCAACCAATGCCCCAACTAGAACATTAGGGTTAGGCTCCTTTTGGCTATACCAATTATCATACCCTTGTGTGCACCCAATAAACCCCTTATTTTCCCTGTATGACACAATTGAGGCACCTCTATGGTGAACCCTTGTAGGGTATTTAGATCCATAACCCACTAAATAACTCATGTTCATTGGGTTAGAGCCTAAAATATAATCAACTTGTGATTTAGCAAAATTTAGGATCTCTTCATGATCCACTAATCCGCCATGGCACACCAGCTTTCTATCCGAGCTTCGAAGAAAATCGGAGTATATAGTGAGAAGGAATGCCGCCGTGGAAACATATTGCATGTTATTCCATTGCCGGACGTGTAATAGGCCTGCCGGAGTACGGTCCACATTGCTACCATTGTTTTTGTTAAGGCATGAACATATGTAGTACTCTGCCTTTGATTTGTATTGCTCTAGTATGTGATTATGCTCCTTGTGCTTCTCATCCATAAGCAACTAAAATGTTAAACATTTAAAATAAGTTAGGATAAATATAATATTTAATAAATAAAATTTCTAGAAGATAAGAAAATATTATTAAGTAAAGAAAAGAAAAGTGAATACTTTCCTTGCAAAAACAATTTATATGGTCAATTTTTACAAATAATGCTGTCATCTTTTCCAATTAAGTCAAAAGCAAATCCAAACACACCAAAGTGAATGAAATATTTTTTTTAGTAATTTAATTTAAAAATCCTATTCAATATGAAACAAAATGATTAAATAATTATTATTTCATTATTTTCTAATACATAATAATTTTGTAAAGAAATCAATTATAGATGCTAAATTTCTATATTCAGAAGTATCTAAGGAAATGGCGCCTAGATGGCTAGATAAGATTTGTTTATCTCAAGACGTCATTATGGGCTAACAGAACACACATAATAAGGCACTGTATATTGCCTGTCTTATGAGCTCAACAATTTATATGAATACTTTGATGAGCTCAAAAACTGTTGATGAGCTCAACAATAGCCATGTTCACCGGTTCATTTTGAACCGAAATCGAACAGTATCATAGATGCATTGAAATCGGATCGAAACTGTCGTTTCAAAATTTTGAACCGAAATCGACTGATGAAGGACCGGTTAAAATCTGAATCTGAACCGGCGGTTAACCGACAGTTCCGATCCAGTTCGAACCATAATTTTTTTTTTTATTTTGAAAATGATAATCACTTAGTCTATTTTATACATATCTAAAAATCTCAATAATATTTTAATACATGATATACTTTACTTAAGATTTTTTTTTTTTAAATACACTTTACTTTAAAAGTTAAAAATCTAAAAATAAAATGGTACTTAAGATTTTTTTTTTTTAAATACACTTTTACTTTAAAAGTTAAAAAATCTAAAAATAAAATGGTAAAAAAAGAATAAATATTTAGTTCTAAGCTATTATTATTTTTAAACTTTTTTTTGCCCTTTTAAATTATTTATTAGTTTAAGAATTACATTATTTTGAAGCATTTTTCCAAATTTTCTTATAATTTATTTAAATTAATAACATTAAACAAAAAATAAAGTTGAATAATTTATTTGATTATTTTTGTAAAATTAATTATTTTTATTTTATTATTGAGATGAGTATTCAAAATTTATTTTTTATTTAAAATAAAATTTATCAATATTTTTTAAACTCATATTAATATTTTCGAAAGAAAGATGTAATATTAGAACTGATTTTTTTTAAAAAAAAAAACATATATCACCGAAAACCGTAATCAGAACCGTTGGTTCATCGGAACCGCACCGGAACCAGCGATTCAAGAGCCGATTCAAATTCAACATTTTAAAATTTTGAACTATCGGCTCCGTGAACCGAAACTGAACCAGCCATGACTACTCAACAATGACTATCTAATATTCTAATCCATAAGGAGCCAAACAATGATTCAAGTTGGCAGTTAGTACAGTTCAGTGAATTAGTTATGCTACTCTTATTGTATGTGCCAACGTGACATAATATCCTAAGGTTTAATCCAATACCTAAACCCCTCCAAAATTTTTGTAAAACAATTTGCAAACACAGCCCAGCTCTTGTGGGCCTACAGGAGTGAGCAAGCTTGTGCGTTTGTGCCTCACCCAACAGACTACAGAGTCTACAACTCATAGCTCCTAAGGGTCATAAATGAAGGAAAGAGATGTGGCATTTGCTGTATTCATTCAATTGGTTTAGATAGTGGGACCATGGACTGGGAAGGAGGTCACACCGGAAGGTTCTCAGCAATTCTAAATAACCTATTTTTGGGCAAAATTCAGTTAGTATTGAGTTACAGATTATGGAAGGTGGTCTTTCAAGTAGTATTGTGCCTAGTGTCCAGTGGCAACTACTTTAATTTAGCACTCAAATTCTAAAGTTCTGCCACGCAAAACATCTGCAGCACATGCTTTTATTTTTATACTTCATGATAAACTTTTCTTTTTTTCTTTCTTTCTTTTTTTAACTTTTCTGGGTCAAATTGGAAAGATTAATTCAGAGTATTTTTACTATTTTTCAACATATCATAATTTTCAACGTATCAATGAAAAATTTTTTGGCATCGACTCGATTAAAAAAATTTATTGAAATAAAAGTATTTTTGAGAATAAATAATTTTTAAACAATTTTTATTTTGATTGATTTGGCTAGCCTATAAACCGAGTCTACACCAGTCTATTCCAAAATAATGGACAAAAAAATTAATATGAAATTATTTAATTAGTTTCCAAAAAAATACTATTTAAATTTTATTTTTTTACAAAATTAAAAAAAAAAAAGCAAATAAAATAGAGATGGCAGCATATATACCTAAATTAGGGGTCACACCATGTTATCAACTTTATTAGAAAGTGAAAGTTAATGCATAATTTAATAATTAAAGTAAAAATATAATATGATTCTACCTTTGAATTGGAGAAAAAAGCAAATCCCACAAAGATTTTGAGAGAGTAATACCTAAACCCCATTTTTAAATCATGATTAATAATTAGAGAACAAACAGTAATTAACAGAAAAAAGCATTAAAAAAAAAAAGAGTTTACCTTTGAAGCCATAATTTGAAGACCAGCATACTTAACATCCCAACTAAACTCTGTTATGGCCCAACCAATCCCGCCAAAACAAACAGCTTTGTTGATGACGTAGTTTAAGTAGTCCTCATTGTCGGTGGCTTTGTATAGCCACATAGCTCCCCATAACAACTCATCCATGTACCCACTCACCGACGCGTAGTAACTCTTCACTGCCTTTATACTTTGATCATATTTTCCTCTGTGTTTATCTCCAAACTCAAACAACTGCATACCATTTCACAAAATATAATTATCCTAATTAGTACTAATTTCTAAATTATAATAATTAATTTGAGTTCCCCACTAATTGTCCCACTAATTAATTTTTTATATCAATTCCTTTGTAGCCCCACAAGATCTATTGACTCTAATTTGACTAGGATTAAATTTGTCCTCGCAAAACAGGTTGTTGGACTAATGGCTCTTGGCTCATAATTAATATGATTAATTAAATTAATTTACCTGTTGAGCATGATGCAGTAGAAGATGAGCATAATGTGGGTTTGTTTTTCTAAACACTAGTGACGCGGCAGCCATTGCGGCGGCAGTTTCTCCGGCGAGATCCGACCCCGGATTATTCTCATCGATCTTGTAAGCGTGCCGCGAAGTGGTCATATCCTCCGGTCGTTGCCAGCAGTAATGGTCGGTGTCACCATCGCCCACCTATAGAGCCACCAAAGTTCTTAAATGAATAATTAGAAAAAATAATAAATTAATAATTTGAAAGGAAAATGCAATTTATACTGTAGTACCTCTGCCCATAGCACATTGGGACTAGTGTGAGCCTTGATGAAATAATCAGTACCCCATTTAATAGCTTCTAAAGCGTGTTCTAATTCTCCGGCGCCGGCGATCTGATCACGGAATTCTATCACACTCCATGACAGCATCGTCACCGTGAATGCCATTGGCAACCCGAACTTTACATGGTCCCCTGCGTCGTAATATCCTCCAACTAAGTCCACCTGCAAAAAAAATCAAAATTCAAAAATTAAATCAGTTAAATATAAAAAAATTTACAATTTCATCGATGCACAATTGAAAAATACTAACGCCTTGTTCTAAACCATCGGTGAGGCCGGAATGGTCACGCCAAGTGACTCGCTGGTTGTACGGTAACCGACCGGAGCGTTGAGCTTCGAAGTAAAGAAGACTCTTTGTTAATGCATCGGCGTAATCGAAACCGAGAGACGATGTCGTTTTACAGGAAATAGCGAAAACAATGAAGAGAACACACCAATGCAGTTTTAATGTATTGGAATTTGAAGATTTGGATTGGTTTATCTCCTCCTTTTGCTCTTCCGCCATGGTTTTCTTTCCTTTCCCTCCTAAAGAGACTGTTTAGGAGTGGAAGGAGTATGGGAAAGAAAGAGAGAAGAGTATATTTTGATATTTTGAAAATTGAAATGTGTCTGTTGTAAGAGATTTTCTGACTTCTCTCTCATATAAAAGCATGTGAGTGTCACATGATATGAGAATGTGAAATTGAAATGGTTTGGTTTCTGTTTCTGTTTCCGTAATTTGTTTCTTCACACGCAAAACATTTGCGTGATTTATGCAACCGTTTACTGCTTCAGTTATGCTTGCTATGTTTAGAAAACGGCGTGGACTGTCTGCGTAGTCTGGGTCTTTTCGGGATGGAATAGTTTCTTTTTGTTTTTTTTACTTGTTGACTGGGGGTTTTTCCAAGATTCAATAGTATATATATATATATATAGCCTATACGTTTCTATTTTGAAAATTCAAATATATCTACTTTCCTCTTTCTTTCATGAATTTTATACATTTGCCTAATTGTCTAATTTTAATTTATGAATTTTCTGGCTAATAGTTCTAATATATAAATTTCACTTGGGGATTATTCTTGTGACCTCTTGAATTTTATGAGAATTCATCATGATTTTGCATTTTCATATTTTAGTAATAAGTATTTCATTCTTTAAAATAAAAAATTATGCTTTAGAAAACGATAAATTACACTCCAAGTATACCCTAATAGTAAGTGTATATATAATCTAACGATAGATCTAAGTTCGAATTTCTTTCCTTACTATTCAAACAAAAAAAAAAGAAAACGATGAATTATTTTTTCAGCGTCACTATTATTATATATATATGATATATACTTTTTTTTAATATTTTTCAAGATCAAATTAATATATAATATCTCATTCTAGTTTCAGTAATTTTTTATTAAAGAAAAAAAATCTATTCAGTTTCAGCCCCTAACTATTATATAATTCATTATTCAAAATTCAATCGACTCCTATATAGAAGGTATCAATTGGCATATTTACATATAGTACGTGATTTACTCTTGTAGAGAAATTGACAAGAGAGTGTCGGTCGTAACATGGCTAACACATAAAACGACAATAACTTAGAAGCTTCTGCGGTTTATGTAATCTCGGACAAGGAGAAGACCATAAATGCAATGGCAGGACTTGCTAATTTATATATATTTGTACATGTTACTGTGTAATCACCTTAAAGTAAAGTTTTGGCTATTAGGGCATAAACAAAAATTAATTTATAATATTATCATGCAAGGTGTCGAAAACCAAGGTCTCAATTCATGAGATTTGGGATTTTATTAATTATTTATTACTAATAAAATATTTTAGTGCCTGCGGAATGTGATTACATGTGCTGCCATTGCAAACACAATCTCAGCGAGTGCTATGTAATTAATTTAAACATATGATCATTTGGCTTTAGCACTTTTTCCCTTTTTCTTAATTTCAATTAATTAATTTAAGTACATGTTATATTTAGGTATCTTTTATTTCATTAGTGATACCTAAAGTAGTCAACTTTACTTTATTTTTTAAAGTTATTATTATTGAGAGAGTTTTATATGAATATCATTCTTCAACTTAAATGTAAAATTACATATAAAATTTAAATTTTATTTCAATTAACATATTTCAAGATGAAATCCTCTGTTAATTGTGTTTTGGATTGAAATTAGACTAATTTTCAATTGAATTAAAATTGATTTGAAAGTTCTGATTCTGTACTAAAATCAAATGAAAAGTAGCTTAATTTGATTTTCTATTTTTGAAATAAAAAAAAAAAAAAAGAATGGCATAAGAACTGACAAAATGAATTGGAGGGGTTAATTTCGGTTTCAGTTTCTACTGTTTTTTTGAAATCCGCATCACCAGTTGGTTCCGCTAAATAAAAAAAAATGTTAAATTTTACAGATAATTTTAATTATTTCTTAAATTTAATTTTCTTCTCTTAATACATTATTGATTAGATTTGTCTAAACCGGATATACGAGCTTATTCCTAAATCAAATAAATTGAAATAAAAAATTTTCAATAATTTATCATTTTTTTCCCATATATGGTCAAAAATGCTCTAATTTAAAAATATATATATTTTCTATTGATTCGGTGGGTTTACATACCTGATATAGGCAAGTCAATTTCTTAAAAAAATATTGTTGAGAAGTTAAATGCCTTATAATTTTTTACTATCTAGTCCTTCATATTTATTATATTGTTACCATTTGATCTCAACATTTATTATTAAATTACTTATTAGTTTTTTTTTTTAGGAGAAGTCAATCTCTGAATTTTATTAAGAGAAAACCGTATATAGATATGAAATATAGATCAACACATTTCTATATTTTTGTATAAAAAGTCTAATAATAATTTATCAAAAATAAAAAGGCATATCATTAAGTTTAAGTATCCCATCAAGTTGAAAAAACATAATATATGTGCCATAAACAATCATTCACTTCATTTGGTGGCTATTTATAGCTATTGTTTAACTCTATAGCATTTCTACATGTTCAATTTGATAATTTTCAAATTTCTTCTTTCTATTAGAGAGTATATCTACCCATCTTTCTGCATAACTACGTAAATGACAAAATACCATACATAAAATTATCATAATGGTGACAATAAGTAAATCTGATAACAAAATCTCAAAATATGAGCGTCATATATGAACAATAAAATCTCAATTTATGAACAATAGTAATTTATATCTATATCAAAAAATACAAATTTGAGAATTGTTTGTAAAGAACACAAAAAAAAAAAAAAAAAAAAGGTAAAAGAACACATAAAAAATAAAAAAACAAGAGTGATTGGGAATGCAACAGGTTGGGTTAACCCGCTTAAGACTATCAACGGTCCGGATACTATCATTAAAATGAACTATCAAATCCCGACCCCCACGAAGGGTGAAGAGTTGAGACTACTCCAAAGTCTATCCAAAACTCGATTATAATAGCGTTTTTAGGTATTGTGAACCTGTTTGAGCATGTTTACAAATATTTTATTTTTATTTGTTTAAAATAAAAAAAAAATTAATTAATTTTGACTAATAAAAAATATAATATAATATTAATATAATTATAGCATTAATCATTAATTTATAAAAGTAATTCTATATAAAAATTTATTTTAAAAAATAATTATTTTTATATAACTTATAAATGGTAACGGATAATGGGATACTCCAACTCATTGAATCCATAAATATTAAATATAATTATAGCATTAATCATAATTAAAAAGGTATCTCTATATAAAATTTATTTTTTAAAAAATAATTATTTTAATACTTATTAAATGGGTAACGGATAATGGATACCCAACTCATTGAATCCGACCCAATACGAGTAATAAAGATATTACTTGAATTCGTTTCGAATTCGTTTATTCATTTTAGCGAGTCAAAAAATTTACCATCAGTGGAAGTAACCGGCGATGAAAACTCACTGGCGGGCGACTATATAAAAAGAAAGAAATACTTTTAGATTTTCAAGAGAGAGGGCAAAGACAGCTTGTCTAATTGTCCATTACTAATTAGTCCATTATTTACTTAACAGTAAAAGTGACATTTTATATATGAATGACCAAATAGGTTAATGAAACTAAATTTTAAAGACAAATTGGTATATTACTAAATATACCAAATTTAAGGGACTAGATAATTATTTGTAAAAAATTTTTTATATATATTGTGGATGCATTGTTATAATATGGGTCATCAGGTGAAAAAACAATGGATGATGGGTATTCTTGATTGCACCAATCGATCTATTAAGATTGGTGAGTATCATATATTAATCATCATAATCTCGAATTACTAAAAAGTAACATAATTATGTCAGATTAAAGCAAAGAGATATTTATATTATCTTCTAATTAAGGAGTCTTTGATTAATTTGTAGGAATAGCTGGGTGGAACTAAACACCTGTCATTTGCAAAAGTCCTTCCAGATTCAAGTTTTTCATAGCTTAAAGCCCCCGCTTTCACACAAAATCAGCTGTTTAATATTCGTCCTACCGTATATAAATGGTTTCTTTCGAGTGTTTTAATAAATAATAAATTATATTTTTTCGATGTTACTCTTATTTGTATTAGATACAATAAATACTTTTATAAATAATTATTTGTTTTGAAATAAGGAAAATTTAGTCGCAACCCTGATAAGAGTCTTTTACTTCCCAAAGGGATCAAACTCCCTACTCAGGTAAGCTACACATTAAATCACATAATATCTACACAATATATAAGGTACTATGTAACATAATATCTAGACAATGCAATATTTCGATTTAAGAATTTGAGTGGTTGCAGGTTTAATTTTATTAATTGAAAATATAAAGATAATTTAATGCAAAATTATATTAATTTCTCAATTTATCAAGAGTATGTTAAGGAACACTCATCACTGGACTTATTATTATCATCGATCATTGGATATATTAATTTTAATTCAATTGTAATATTATTCTATGTCTTATCAATGTTACTTGTTACCAATTGTGATTGTAATTTTAAATTTCCTCTATTTGCGGTAGCTGGTTCTTCAAAACAAAGCGCAGCACCGGCTTGCCCTGTAAACTTTAAACACCGACTCGCGGTGGACCTGCCCTGCTCCCTCGCCGACATTCCTATGCATATTCATGCATTTAGGGATACTTATATAGACTCTAAATCCCAACTACTTGAAATTCAAATCTTCGTGCCTTTTTTGCTTCCTCTGTTTTTGTCATTTTATTTCAATTTTCTTGGACGCCTGTCTTTTCATTGGCTAATCCGTTTTTTCCATTAGGGTAAATTACGAAACGTTCCATGAAATTATGCGCTCAAATCGTCGTTACCTTTTCTAAAATGTTTTAAAAAACTTTCACGCTTCCCTCTTTGATTTCTACAACGTAAACTAATTTGATTTGTTAACGTTTTCCTTATTTTATATATATATATATATATCTCCCAAAATAAGTAATTTCGTTTGTTCCTTAACTTCGAAAAATATTATTCAAATAATTATTTTCTATTATTTAATTGCAATAATGAAATTTAGTTAAAAAAATATTAAAATTTTTAATTCACAAGACCATAAAAATAGTTGTAATAATAAAATTTTCATATTTAAAAATTTATGTAAAATATGAGAAAAAATGGTAAATTATGAAAGTTGTTGGTCACTGGTCGTGGTAGCAGACGATGACCAATGATCGGTGGTGGTGGTCCACGGTGACTGGTGATTCGTGGTTGTGACCTTGGTTACCAATGATTAATACATTAAAAAATGTGCATTTATAATATTATAATAAGTTTGTCAATATGTTGAAAATATTTTTCTTTACAGAAAATGTTTCTCTTTTGAAAATAAA